GGGTCCTCAGGGGACCTGGGTGACACTGCCCCAGATGCGGAGGGGGGCTGGCGTGGGTGGGGGACACTCCTCTGGGTGCTCAGGGGATCTGGGTGACACCCCCTGGGTGCTCAGGGGACCTGGGTGACACTGCCCCAGATGCAAAGGGGGGCTGGCGTGGGTGGGGGACACTCCTCTGGGTGCTCAGGGGATCTGGGGTGGGTGGGTGACCCTCCCCTGGTCCTGAGGGGTGCCACAGGGGGCTGGGGACAGACCTGGGGGTGGGAGCAGAAGGCAGGTGACCCCCAGGGTGACCCCCAGGGTGACCCCCAGGGTGACCCCCACAGTGACCCCCGGCGTCCCCGGTGGTGTCCTGAGGATCCCTGAGGATCCCTGAGGATCCCTGGGGATCCCTGGGGGCCCGTGGGTGGGCTCTGGGGTCTCCCGGTGGCCGGGGCACGTTGGCATTTCCCAGCCAGGAGTGAAACGTGGGATTTCGGCTCCGGCCAGCGCAGCGGAGCTGAACAATGCCAGGGAGTTCAGGAGAGGAGCAATCCTCTGGATCACAGCCCCCTTTGGGTCAGGGCATTTCCTGCTTGCTCCACGCCCTCAGTGGGAATTTCTGGGCTTTGCGTAAGGAAGATCTGCTGATGATGAGTGAGGCTGGCCTGGGCAGGGCTGTGGGGACATCTGGGATGGAAGGGCTGTGGGGACATCTGGGATGGAAGGGCTGTGGGGACATCTGGGATGGAAGGGCTGTGGGGACATTTTGGATATCCAATCCCTGTGGCTGTGGGGACATTCTGGATGTCCCATCTGCTCCGGGCAGGGCTGTGGGGACATCTGGGATGTCCCCTGTGCCCTGGGCAGGGTTGTGGTGACATTTGGGATGTCCCCTGTGCCCTGGGAAGGGCTGTGGGGAAATTTGGGACGTCCCATCCCTGTGGCTGTGGTGACATTTTGATGTCCCATCTGCTGCGGGCAGGCCGTGGTGACATTTTGGATGTCCTATTTGCTGTGGGCAGGGCTGTGGGGACATTTTGATGTCCCATCTGCTCTGGGCAGGGCTGTGGGGACATTTTGGATGTCCCATCTGCCCTGGGCAGGGCCGTGGTGACATTTTGATGTCCCATCTGCCCTGGGCAGGGCTGTGGGGACATTTTGATGTCCCATCTGCTGCAGGCAGGGCTGTGGGGACATTTTGGATGTCCTATTTGCTGTGGGCAGGGCTGTGGGGACATTTTGATGTCCCACCTGCCCTGGGCAGGGCTGTGGTGACATTTTGGATGTCCTATTTGCTCTGGGCAGGGCTGTGGGGACATTTTGATGTCCCACCCCTGTAGCTGTGGTGACATTTTGATGTCCCACCTGCCCTGGGCAGGGCCGTGGTGACATTTTGATGTCCCACCTGCCCTGGGCAGGGCCGTGGTGACATTCGGGACGTCCCGCCCCGCGCCCTTGGGTGTTGCCCATCCTGCCACGCGGGCACCGCTGTCCCTGGAATGTGTCCCCACGCTCGCTCCCGGTCTCCCCACGCCTGCGGACGCCCCACTTCTCTCTCCCAGGGCGGGAGCTGGGCTGGCACAGGTGACCCAGATCCTGCCCAGCGTTGCCACGCCGCGGGCACGTCACCCGCGGGGCACGGCGGGCACGGGCCCGGCCCCGCTCCTGCTCCAGCACCACCACAGCCCCCCGGGAGAGGAAGTTTTTCCCTGGTTTTCCCTGGTTTACCCCGTTTTTCCCCAGTTTCCCACTTTTTTCCCCGTTTTTCCCCATTTTTCCCTGGTTTTCCCTGTTTGTTTTTCCCCATTTTTCCCCATTTTTCCCCGTTCTTCCCTGTTCTTCCCCGTTTTTCCCCATTTTTCTCTGTTTTCCCTGTTTTTTTTTCCCCGTTTTTCCCTGTTTGTTTTTCCCTGTTTTTTCCCGTTTTCCCCCCATTTTCCCCCATTTTTCCCTGTTTGTTTTTCCCTGTTTTTCCCCGTTTTTCCCC